CGCAAGTCTTTACAAGTCAATTGGCGCAAGTCCAAGTGAAAGTCAGAGTCATTGATGTTAAAGTCCAAGTCGAGTTGCAAGTCTTTTTATATTTGGTCAAGTCGAGTCTAAAGTCATCAAAATCATGACTCGAGTCTGAATCGAGTCCAAGTCACATGACTCAAGTCCACACCTCTGCTACACACACTACCATAACACAACAGTGTGTTTGGTCACATTCTTCAAGTCATTCAAACATTCTAATCCAGGGCAAACAGTTGAGAAACGGGTCTGTGAGATGCTGTAATACGTCTGGAAACATGGCCTCTCTCACACCTCCACTCTCCTCAGTCACGAGATACAGAGGTCTTGTGATGTCGCCGGCGCTATCAGAGCCACCGATACAGGGCTTTGTGATCCTCTCTGAACTCCTCCTGCCCTGCTGCATGTGATGTGTTAGCGCAATTAGCTTTGGTTTGTTTCTTGTGGATCCATTAAAGCCGTGAGCAACAAATACAACGTCTCTCTTTCATGTATCTCTCTCCAGGTGTTTTGTTGCTCAAGAGATATTGCAAATAATATTGTAAACCTCACTACCGTAAGTCCAGAGTGTGGTTATGAATATGAGTTGGTTCCTCGACATTCTAATACGGTGCTGAAAGCTTTGTTTAAGCTGTTGGAGCTGTCATCCACATGTATATTGAAATCTCTGGTTATGACTGTTTTCCCATTCCAAAACTATTTTTGAAATGAAGTCCGCAATTTTTGTTAGGAACTCACTGTAGGGACCAGGAAGTTGGTATAAAACTATAAATAACTATAAACATTACAAACATTCCAGGTAAAGCCATGGAGAATAGAATGTTTGCTTAGCCCCTGAAAACTGAAATCTGCAACATTACATGCTCCTGGTTCGTTATCTGGGAATTATGTCAAGCCTATTATTCACAGTAAAAGGTGATGTCAACTTCAATTGGATGTCATTTTTGAAGACGATATGACCCTGTTGTAGAATGTGTATTAGTAAACAGTTAGTTTATTATTAGTTCTCTCTGCATAACAATAGACTGTAAATATTAACAGACGTAGTGACGCCTATCTCCGCCGTGTCATCACTTTTCCTTCCTGCCGTCTTTTTTTACAATGGCCACGAGTGGCACCTCCTGCAGGAAACTGTGAAAAAACACATTTGTTGAGAAAATCTAGAACAACCAAAACTGATTATTTTGTTGTAAATGGACTATCAGTCAGTCATACAGTCTTTATACCATGAGCCTGTCCAGGGACCACAGGTGGAAACTAGCATTTAATACAAAATCCGGCACACAAATCCATTCAATTCAATTCAAAGGCGACGATGGGAGTTCAATACATCCAATTAGGAAGCTGTGGAGTGTGGGCGGGGCTTAATGTCGCTCAGAAATTCTAAAATATTCTCTCTCTCTTTTTACAACTTAAATTCACTTTAACTTTAGTAAGACTGTAGCAAGTTCTTCAATTAATCTAATGAACTAATCCATTCTTGAAATAGTTAACTAAATCAATTCATAGTTTTTTGACGCTTACATAGACTTAAACCTGTTGAGAAGTTTAATGACTCAGAGATTGTTAAAATGACTGAAGAATGAAATGTAGTTTTAATCAAACAACCAGATGTGTAACAATCGGCCTCTGTGGAGATGGACCAGTGTTTATTTCCTGTTTGACAGTTTTGGCAGGTTTTCCTCTGGGTCATGTGACGTGTCCTGCCAGCTGTTTTACACCGTTTTTGATGCCGTCTTCCAAACCAGAGGCAGGAATCAACTTGTAGAATCCATCAGAGACCAAATTAACCTCGTTGGAACATAAAAATAATCATTAATTACAGCCTTAAGCTTTAGCCTGGACCTGGAAGTGCTGTGTCTTCTTACTTCAGTCCCATGGGTGGCTTTAGTAAACTCACACCAGGAGATATTATACGATTCTAAATTCTCAGCCGCAAATACAAAGCTGCTTTTTACATTTTTGCTGCCCTATACTGACAAAGGAGTACTTCTGCATTACTTAGACTTGAATGTATATGTATTCAGTATAGGGAATCAGTCACAAATGAGGTTGTTTTAAATTCAAATGCAAAAAGTTCTGTATTCACCTATTGACAATTTTGTCTTCTTAGTAGAAATAAAGATGCTTGGTTTTTCTATACCAGACAATAGTATAAGTTAGTGATGTTTTTACCTTGATATGACCGTAGAAACATGTCAGGATAATGACATTGTCTGGTATAGAAGAACCATATACCTTCATTGCCCACACCTAGCTAAAATCATCCAGTGATAGTAGCACTGCAAAAAGTGATGAAAAATAAGTCAAAGATTGCTTAAATTCTTAATTTGAGCACATTTTGACTGTCTTAAAACAAGATTTGCCAATAGGACAAAGGTAAATGATCCTGTTTTAAAAAGATGAAGAAATGTCTCCCTTGGAATGAGAAAATAAAGCAATAGTTATAGAAATAAGTCTAAATGGCTTTGTCCCATTGGCAAATCTTGTTTTAAGACCGTCAGAATGTACTCAGATTAAGCTAAAACCACTCAATTCAAGAATGTATTACCTCATTTTTTATATTTTTTTTACAGTGAATAGAAGAATCAAATTCCTTCTTTGCCAACACTTTGCTAAAAACCATCCCTGCTTAAGTCATCGACATATGAGCTACTGTCACAGTAGCAATGACTTAAGCAGTGATTAATCCATTACTGAAATTAAATCTGTTGAGTCGCATCATCTCCTGCTAATTGGAATCATTATGACTCTCTCTTTCATCACATGCTCCGTCCTGAGCCCCGGCAGAAACGTCCAAACGGCTCCTGTGTGGTGGAGAATCGCAGGAGCCAGTGGGAAGTCTGTCCTGACCTTTCCCTCCGCCTCTCACTATAGGGACTCTATGGAATCAGATTAAATCAGACAGCCGCGCTCCCTGCTCTAACTAATGCCATTAGGTCCAGCAGCAGCAGTCCTATGGAGAAATGCGTTTATCACGGAGCCGAGCTGACGTCACGGGGCCCTGTCTGTGGTACTCTGCTGCTTCTATAGTAGTTAATTTATATGAACAGTATTTATTCTGCTCAAAAGGAGTGTGCTGAAGCAAAAATCCTATTAACACCCCAACCCCCCCAAATTCAATTATCAAACTTTTAATGTCACAATAAAAGTAGTATAGAAAAAGGATACTAAGACACAGAAAACAAACTACATCTGTACATCCTGGATTATGGAATAATCAACCGTCAACAATTTAAACAGAATAAGGAATGGATCATACTATAATTAGCAATGTCTTATTGATATTATAGTCTCACTGATCAGAGAGAGACAAAATAAGGAGAGGAGAGAGAGACCAGACAGAGGCCAAAGAGAGACCAGACAGAGGCCAGAGAGAGAGAGACCAGACAGAGGCCAAAGAGAGACCAGACAGAGGCCAGAGAGAGAGAGAGACCAGACAGAGGCCAAAGAGAGACCAGACAGAGGCCAGAGAGAGAGAGAGACCAGACAGAGGCCAAAGAGAGACCAGACAGAGGCCAGAGAGAGAGAGAGACCAGACACAGGCCAAAGAGAGACCAGACAGAGGCCAGAGAGAAAGAGACCAGACAGAGACCAGACAGAGGCCAAAGAGAGAGACCAGACAGAGACCAGACAGAGACCAGACACAGGGCATAGAGAGAGACCAGACAGAGGCCAGAGAGCGAGACCAGAGAGCGAGACCAGAGAGCGAGACCAGAGAGCGAGACCAGACAGAGGCCAGAGAGAGACCAGAGAGAGAGGTATTCCTTGGCTTCCTGTATTTTGAATATGAATTATTCACTTATTTGTGGGTCCTGAAAAACCAATAACAATGTCAGAGTACAGCGAATGTAAAACTCCTTAAAGTATCTTACTTTGAAACCACACGAAATAACCATGTAATAGATTCTATTCAATTATTCCTCTCACAACTGTTTGGTTAACTGACTAAATATATTTTAAATGTATTTTTGGCTTATTATTCTTCTTCTTATTATCATTATTTTATGCACTCTGACCCGGTCTCCTCTAAAACAGCAGAGGAGGAACGCTGGATGTTTTTCCTCAATGAAAATAGTCGGTGGAGAGCAGACATGTGACAGATGACCTTGAGCTGGATCCGGTCTTTTGTTAAACTCACTCATAAACCACAAAAGAAGAAAGACTGTCATTGCTAACGTTTCCACGCCATAAACACACATTGCACCGTTTTGAGGCACATTCTCCTGGAAAACTGCCCTGCTTTTTTTTTTCTAAGGGAAGGATCGAGGGAGATAGACTAGGCTTCACACACACTGGTACCTTGTTAGCATGACCTGGCTCTGTCATTGACTCTCTCCCATATTAGATGAAGCCTTCTCTGCCCAGTCTCCTTCACTGTTAATAATTACCAATTTATTGTCACATTGTTCCCTAATAGTAAACCTTGTGGAGGAGAATAATGACATGTGAAGCATCTTTAATGTCCTGAAAAGTGCTTTATGCCTTATTATTACTTTACAGCTTGGATGAGGGTGACAGAAATCCTACTTCTTTAAATCTGTGACATTTTAGTTTTTCCATGGGTCTCAGAATGATCCAATCTCAGTGACTTCGGAATGTTTCCATGATGATAAAACTTGCTGAGTTTTCTTCCTCTTTTGGTCACATGTCTGCTGAGTAATGACCGGTGTTAAAATCCCTCTCGAATATGTTTTTTTTTTTTTGTGAACTGTATGAAGCAGATGCTAAATGCTTGAATACTGCTTATGCCATTCCTGTGTACCTGCGTTATTATAATATATTTTGCAACATATATACTAAAGGTGTCGTCAAAACGAGGAACTCTTGTCTCTTCAGTCTGGGGAGGTAAAAGGCCACAGTGAATAAAGCCTGGTGAAATAATCTTGGATCTTGAAGTCTGGACCCAAGATTTCTCCTGTATTTGGAGCTGTTGCAAAAGTGGTAACCAACTTCCTTCATTTGACCTTCTCTTCCAGGAAATTGCCCGACATCTGCGTCCGACGACGTTAAGAGCTTTGTACGGCAAAAACAAAGTGAAAAACGCGGTGCACTGTACGGATCTGCCCGAAGACGCCGCTTTAGAAGTGAGTAGAAGATGAGTCATGTAAAAAGTGAAATTACTTGAATTGATCAAAAATGAATCAGTATCAAAGTAAACTGTTACTGCCATGAATAGGATTAACCAATGGGACAAGCAGCAATGTCTTGTTTTGAAAAAGAGACAAGAAAAAAGTCTTTGAGTGAGACATTAATTGCATTTGGACTTGTATCACAGGGTTCTATAAGGTTGATGCCTATTTCACAGACCTATCGGTAAATTTGTATACAACAGAAATATTGTTTTGTTACTTTTCTGCCTGCGTCTGTGTCGTAATTTTGTAGCAGTGTGTGTTGCGCTACTTCCTCTTTATTTCGGTTGTTCAATCAAAATAATTGTGCTTAACACACATTGTAAACCTAGACCCGTATCTCAAAATTCAAGTCTTTCTAAAATATTAAAATACATTAACTTTTCTAACTGCCTCTCATGTGCCCTCTCCTCCTGCTCCTCTGCCTCTCATGTGCCCTCTCCTCCTGCTCCTCTGCCTCTCATGTGCCCTCTCCTCCTGCTCCTCTGTCCCTCATGTGCCCTGACGTGGGCTGGCTCCCATGACCGCAGTGGGCCAGAGAGGCAGCTTCACGTCACACTGGTCAGAGCAGAGGAAGAATCTCAAACAAACCCGTTGTTTGTGGCTGGGAGAGGGTTGAGGGCCATTGTTCAGGGCAGCAGAACTCCTGATCTGCCTCAGGACAAATGCCTCTGTGTTAAACATTAGCAGTTTCCCAGCACAGGACAGCGCTGAGGCCACATGAAGGAGTCATTATTGAACTTCTGAGCCGTGTGTTAAATCCACATCAGTCTGAAGTGGCTCTGATCCTCCTTCTGTTTTGCAGTTGCAGTATTTCTTCAAGATTCTGGATGGATGAGAAGAATCTGGGCCGTACAAAGAAATCACAGTTGTCGTATTTTTATTTTTATTGTTTCAGCCTTTATGCAGATTAAATAAACAGGTGTTTGAACATTGAATTTATTGTATTTCACACCGACTTTGAAAAAAATGTACAACTGCATAAATATAAAATTCTTCCACCATGAAAATGGCTAAAACATTCAATAGTAAGTTGCATCACATAATGTGATGTCTCCAGCAAAACAGATTTAAAAGCCACTGTTTCTATGGAGGTGACAGTCTTTAGGCTGGACCCACAAAGCTCTACACTATCATTAAGAAGAAAACGGATGTTAAAACAGAAATGTAGCTAAACCAAAACTACAGCTAAAAGTGAACAATAACAAAAACGTACAACTGTGTCCTTCCACTCGGACAAAACCCGACAAACTCAGTCATGAGACACAAAGGAAGAGTCCATGGAGCGCAGTGTTTACTAATTCTTGGCCGTGGCTTCAGAGTACCATGCTGTATCCTCACACACACACACACAGTTTGGACCACTGAAGCTGACATAAGACAAGAGGAGGGGGGCGGGGCTACGGCACGGGACACTCCAATAATATATAAACCACATGGGGCGAGAGCGACACACACACACACACACACACACACACACACACACGCACACACACACGGCTTGCGAGGCGTCAGTAGTGGAATCGCAGTTACAGTAATCTATGAAACACATCCCATGGCTCGAGGAATATCTCATTTACAGTAGAATAAATATTTGCTATTGCTACTCTGGTATTTTACATTCTAACCCTGGACACGCGCACAGAAGAAGCTAGTGTAAAGCACACAACAGATTAAGTGTAGGTCCTGTATATCGTGAATGTTCAAAGACTAGTGGTGTTTTTGATAAATCTACGTGTGTGTGTTTATTCGCGGCTGAGGTCACGAGTTGCTGATGGTGAATTTGACGTCGAAGCGTCCCTGGTAACGGTCCTTTTCGCTGTAGTCAATGTTAGCGCCGTACACCTTGCATTCTATGCGCAGCTCTTCCCCTACTGTCAGGTTGGTGAACTGCACGGCCACCAGAGGCTGCAGGTATTGGGGGTGGAGCAGCTTCCCGTAGTAAGGGTAGTACTGCAGGGGGAAGCCGCCCTTCACGCCATGGTATTTGATCTCCCCGATCTTTTCTTTGTCTACCTCTCTCTGTGTGAAGATAATAAACACCATTAGGTCTCCGTTAAAGTCACTGAACGTCTACCGAAGGATGTGAAGCCAGAAGAGGGACTCGCCTTGTTCTTGCAGAAGATGGGAATCAGGTTGGGGTTTAACACAAGGTTGTCAGGAATGCTGTCATTGGCCGGAGCCTGGAGAGAAATATAGAAATGTGAAAATCAATAGAAATGTGTTGTGTTGCGGTAAAATGTTAAAACTGAAATTAGTGCTTTCAAAACAATGAACCAACATTTAAAACCTCAGTGTTACTGAAAAGAGAAAAAAAACTAGCAGTGTGTTGTTTGTTTGTGTTTTAACAACAGAAAAGGGACACTAAAATCTCTACAAAATCCGACCTTTATGAAAGCTGTAGGTTCTCTGTCAGCTGAGGTCGAGCGCTTTACGATGAGTTCTATGGGACATTTTTCTGGGTAGCCCAAGTGAATTCAGTCTGCAGTACCACAGACGCCTCCTGTTCCCATAGGTGGTAATACCCCATCCAGATATATATAGATCCAAAATTGGTCTAACTGGACTCCGTGTGTTGGAAAGACTCTCATACTCGTGGTTTGAAGTTCACGATCCTGTTGAGCTTGACGATGAGGCAGGGTTTCCCATCCTTGAAGCCATAGTTGGAGTCTGCGACTCCGGAGCAGGGCCCAAGCCAGGTCCGGCTGAAGCGGCAGGCCTTCCTCCGGCCCAGATCGTCCCCCAGGATGCCGCGGTCTTTGTAGGTCTGCGGCTCCGCTGTAAACCACAGCACAGGCTCGACACATGCAAACAAACACTACACACAACACCAAAAAACAAAGTGGTGCAAGGAGAGGGAACGTACGGGAGCAGTCCTCGTAGTTCTTTTCGTCCGTCTGCTTCTCGTCGTCGTACTGACTCAGAAGGGAGTTCATGCTGGAGGTGTATTTTTTGAATGAATCTGGGTCATTCATGTTAAAGGCTATTTCTGATTTCTCCGACCGTGGTGTGTGTGATAAACCTGCAAACACACGCACAAAACAACCACGTATTCAATTTCAACTCAATGTATTATTTTATAGCCCTAAATCACAACAGTAGTTTTCTTGAAGGACTTAACAAAACCGTAACAAAGATTAGAGAATCAAATAGTTAAAACACAAGAAATGCAATGATAAAAACACATAGAGTCATAAGGGGCGACCAATGACCAACGTCCATAAATGTTGTTGAAATTTATCTATTTAAATCAATCAAACACCTTATAATTCTATAGCATAATTTGTACAGAATGCAACCCAAAGTGCTTCACATTGACAACATTTAAAAACACACTGTAAAAAGACCTACGAAAAAGACTAATTTAAAATAAATATATCAATAATAAAATGATGATCTGCTTCCTGATGGTCATTGGTCAGAGGCTAAAAAAGAATACAGCCTTAAATACAGCCTGTGTCACACTTTCAGGAAGACCGTTCAAGATTCTAGGTCTGAAACGCTGCCTTTATGTTGCATCTGTTTGTGTTTGTCAGTGAAGCCAGTCCAGGTCCTATTGTCTGCGGGCTCCAGTCGAGTCTTGGGGATTTCCTCCGGTCCCTGTCTCTGCCTGAGCAGTAATTTTCCACAGAGCGAGCATGCGGTCCTGCGAGGCGTGGCTTTTTTAACACAGGAACCGGGAGGAAACATGACATTTATTAAGCCGTGCCAGCTGTAGCGCGATGCATTTAGCTCCTGACAGGACGCGCTGCAGAAGAGCATTTGAGTTTCAGAGGAGGCCTGTGAAAGTCCCCCGCGCCCTGCCCCCACCCGGCTCACGTGTTGCTCTCACAATGGAAACTTTTAGCCCCAGAGTGAGAAAGGCGGGCTGAGCTGTACTGAAAAAACTTCTCTGTGCTTCCTTCATCGGGGCACTACTGGAAAACGCTGTGCCCTGCCGCCGCGCCGCTGGTCTTTGATGCTCACGGGCCTGACATATGAAGCCACTTAGTCACAATAGTGTCTAAAAATACTCAAGTACTGCGAGAGTGAGAGCTGGCACAGGCACAAGGTGAAAGACCGGAGCGGGTTTGACGTTTACGCCACTCTCAAGGCTCTACACGACAACACTGCCACATTTTACAGTGTGTTTCAGAAGATTATGGATTAGATTGTGAGCAGAACAAGCTTAGGGGCCAGAGTTTTGACAAACTTCTACAAACAGAGCGTATGACATGAGCAGAGAGGAGGAGGGTGTGAACTGTAAACTACTACTGCTGTGCCCCGGGGGGAGTGCCATTGATGGGCTCAGAGCAGTGAAGGACAAAATGGCTGAACCTATCTGAGGTCAGGCAGGCTCCTGATAGAGGCACACCCCAACAGTCACGCCAGTATCTCCGCACGCTTCACACAAACCCTCCCCACAGACCCGGCTCGCTCCTCACGTGTGCGGCTTCTCGTGGTGAGAACAAACGTCACAACATAAACAGCGAGAATCCATGCCACAAATAAAGGAGTAACTGATTTTGATCATCCCACTATTTTTTATATATATATATATATGTTTTTTTTTAATCTATCTTTTGAATTATCCAATAACACAACACAGTAATACATTCTTCAATCCTCATAGTTACTGTACATTCTACTGTTGTATGTGAGAGAGTGTAGTTCTTCTAAATTGGTACAAGTCACTACATGATTATTAACTATTATAAGATTAAGAGATCCTTTATTTCTCCCACAGTGGGGAAATGTCAGTGTTGCATCACTGGCTACAGAACAGTAGGAATGTGGAGCACACAGCACAAGCTAAATGAGCAATAACTCTACACTAAAATGAAACAAAATCTCTAGCTTTAGCATAATACGGAAGCAAGAATAAAATCTCCATTTTTAGCATCTTGGGTCACACTGAGACTTACCTGGGGGGGCAACTCTATCTTGATAAGTTGGTTTATAGTCGCTTAGCGTAAGAAGCAATGCCTGAATGGTCCCGATGAAGATCCCAGCCAAACAGCCATAGAAGATTACGTAGAACAAAGTGATTTTACCTGCAGAAGGGAAAGAAAACACAAGGCCGGTGTTTACTTTCAGGTTCTTTTCGCTTCTCAGCAGAGTGGCCTGCGGATAGCGCACTCTCAAATCCAACAAAAACAAAAAAAAACCTTCTCTTGAGTTTCAAGAGTCCACACCAACTGCGCCCTGCTGTGTGATTTCTTCCCTTCGTTACCAGAGAAGTCATTGTGGAATAATAGTGATCTGGGGTTCCTTTTTCGGTCCGCCTAATTTAACTTTTACACCAATTATGCAACAGTGGGGGGCCTGTAGTTCCAGTAGAGCAGAGTGGAGTCTTTCCAGTCTTTCCTGCGTTTTGGACCCTCCCCCCTCGCCGCAGCCGCTCATGAGAAACTACTGTGCAACACAACAATGGACCTTGAATATGATTTCTGTTCAAAAGGACAGTGGCAAAGTTGCACATCACACAGTCTGCAATTATAGTTTCAAAGCAACGAGAGCCCTTTGGCTTCTGTATAAAACTTGCTGCTGTCATCTGAATACTGCAGTCTTAAAAAGGAGCACTGTGTAACGTTTCACTTCAGTCTGGCATTAGCCAGTGACAGGTCAGATCTGTGGAGAGGCTGGCCCACTGACAATAGGAGTCTTTTAAGAAATAAAATTGTAACTCTGTCTCTGACAGAAGATGAACTGGTTTGACCTCTGCGCATAAAACAAACCAGTAAAGCAACAACACAACTCTTCAAATACTTTCTATTTACTTTCAAACTATTTCGCTTTTGTTTAATGAGAAAATGTCTTTAAAGTGTTGCATAAAACTAGGAACTGAACCCGTCTCCTGCAGACTTGTGTTATTTGACTTGAGTTGAAATGCTTGATCGACCTGGGACAACAGTGGGACGAGCAATATTGAAATCGCAAAGATGTGCAATAAATGTATGTATTCTCTATTTATTAATTTTTAACTGAGTCTGTTGCGTTTCAACAGGTAGGAAGACCTTTCTAACATCATTTAATCTCAGTACAATGTGCATTTTCCCGAAGAAGTAAGAAGCATTCAACAATAGTTGGCTTAATTGCCAGTGACACATCTCTAACCAGAAGGCTCAATCTCACTTCCCCATGTCTGCTGCATGTGTGCTACCAGACCATAGGAGCAGAGAGGCACTGCCAAAACCATTTTGTCAAGTTCAAATTGATTCAACCGCCACACGGAGGCTGCATCAAATTCTGCTTGCTCATTGGTCCTGCCTGCTCTCAGTGACATGTGGAAGGAGCAAGCATGTTTTCCCCTGTCTGCAGTCTTCTTGAACGCACATTTATTTCAGATTTAAAGCCGTACATAAATGCCAAAGATCAAACGTGGAGTCCAGCTTTGCGTTTGATCCCACTGTAGAAATCATTACATTCTGGATCTTTCACTTGTTGGAAAAAGACTGCGTTTGGCTGCGTCCTCTACAGTGAAAGATGCACCTGTTGAGATGCATTGCACTGTCAGGCCACCGCTCGTGCTCCTACTTGTCCTGGAGAAACGTGTGAGAGTTTTTGAACAGAGGGAGATAAAACCCAGGAGTGAGGAGGGCGTGGATTTGCAAAACAAATATACGCATGTTCAAGGTGTGGCCCGGCATGTTGGCGCTGCGGCACCAATCAGGGACCTGCAGTTACTGGCTTCGGCGCTTCTAACCTGTCACATCTGTCCCATGTGTTTGTCCATGGCTGACCCTAACCCATCCCTGTCATCGGACTGTTCTTGTGACGCAGAGACACAAATATAATCTGTATTTTCCATTTAAAACACATTATCTGCTAAAACAGAGCTGCATATGACATGTGTCACTATCTTACAAGCTCCAGACGTGTGCAGAGCTGCGTGATAACAATACCTCACTGCTTCCTATGTGTAGACATTGTATTATTGTTGGTTTGTCAATGCTTAATAGATACAAATCAATATTGAAACACCAACAAAACTAATTTAATCTGGTGGAAAATAGTTAAAAAGTGGAATGAATTGGGAAATGGGAAAAGCTTCATTATAAGATATTATAATGCTCTAGTTAAAAATACATTGGTAACTATTGGTAACTTTGTAATATTAACTGAATCAGACCAAAATAGTTAGAGGTTAAACTGTGTAACTCCAGTAGTCAACAGTAGTTTTGGTCTTTGTCTACTTTATTATCTTGTTTATCTCTGTCTATGGTCACTTACAGCTTTTCTACAGGCCGTCACGTTCTGTCCTTTCACTTTCAGAGGACTGTCTCCGATCTGCAACTCCACTTATAGTCGTTAGGTAAATCAATGTTGTCTTTTCGCTTTCAATAACAGACGTAACTTTATATTTCGGTCTACGCTCTCGACACACACAGGCCTCAATCATGCAAACAGCTTACAGGGGAAAGAGAAGCGATTATTTCTAGAGTCTGGTTGTATGTGGCTTTCAAAGAGTTACACTGTGTTGGAGTGAAAGCAAAAGACTGAATTAATGTAAAACTACTCTAGCATTATCTTCAATCCACAATTTACATTTAGTGACATGTGGCCATTTTAACCAGCAAATCCCATCATCTGTGATGTCCGGTCAGTGAAAGTGAGGAAGTGCTGATGTTGAGACGCAATTAGCAGGATGTTGAAAGTAAAAGTTGGGAATTCTAATCAAGAAAAAGCAGCTCAATGACAGTAATTTTAGGATGTGCCAATTGGAATTTGTTTGGGGGTGACCAGTTCCCTATATTTACCACAATGTCATGTCTCAGTAGATTATCCAAAATGATTTGTCCCAGTGTTTGCAAAATCTGACACATACCAAGAGGAGAGAGAGGGATGGTTTGTGTGTGTCACTGCTTTAGCCAAAATACTGAATAGCTTTCTTGATAATGGGCAAAATATGATAGATGTTTGACTTAGCCACGTGGACTGAAACCCTAACAATGTAAATCCAAAAATGTCTCTAGCAACTCTAAACTTATGTCTCCCCCAATTTCGAAACTATCCACTCTCTCCCCCCTAAAATGAGTCACTTTCCACCGTGGGTAATTAGTTAGATTCCGTTTCCACCGTTGCTCACGCGTGTCCCAGAGTTTGAATGGGACCAAAGCAGCGACCCTCCCCCACCCACACGGGACGATCGGAGTGGGAGTATGGGACAGCCTTCACAACAACCCACACGCTTCATCTGTTGCATGTTTTTTTCCTCTCTCCTCGTAATAATATCCCTATTCATTTCTCTCGGATTTCATTGTGTTGCTCCTTAGTAACGTGGGCAGTACACTCGCTCGTGATGCCCAGTCCACTCGTGACTTGTAACACCTTTCTGTGTGAAAAGCCAACACTTTTAATCAGTGGGAAAAAACAACTATAGTGGTTATTCATCCATTATTACGGACAGATCCGGGGACAAACATGGCTACCTGTTGCTTGCAGCGCGGTCGTGCTCAGTCATAGCCCTACTCTACGCAGCTCTTATCTGTCGTGCCGTCGTGGATTCGCTTCACTGAACAAATGTATAAGAAAAAAACTATTGACAGTAAATAGACATTGCTAACATGACACGCTAATGCTAATCTCTCCGTGTTTTAGGTACAAACTTATGAATAATTAACTATTACGCCGAGATTTACGCTTGACTTTAGCTTTTGAGTTAATTGTTGCTTTTATTGCGCCTATAGGTGTGCGGATGTGTACTTTATGCGCCGGCTAATGTAAAATTATCTTTTTTAAAAGGTGGAGAAAATGTGGAAGAGGCGGCCCTATGAGACATGTGAGTCGTGATGTGTTTCTCTGCCCAGTGTTACTAAGCAGTTTGAGAAGCAACACGGCGACCTGCACACGGAAATAACACATATAGCAACTAAACAGGACTGCAAAGCGAGTTATCTCATCAAAAGCCCACTGTTTAAGCCGTGCATTGTCCGCCTTAAAGTAACGAAAGCTTATTAAAACGATTATGTGTTGAGGCTATGGTACGCAGAAGCCAAAAGATTAGCCGATTAATGCAAGTATAAGATGTCCTGATTACTAAATTGGATGAATGAATGAATAAAAGCGGTGTAAGCAGAGAAACCCAACCCAACTTTCACTGGATTGAAGAGGGGGAAAAAAAGTGAATCCAACTGTCTGTCCTTCAAGATGACCTTTTCATGGGGACATTTTAAAATCAATGCCCACATAGAGTCCAAACATGAGTTCATAACCACCTTATTACAATGCATCACGCGTTTAACTATTGACTTTCTGCTGATATTTCGTCTGAATCTTCAGCCTGGGTCACTGTAACTGGGCGAATCGTGTTTCCAGTGTTAGTTGTATTGATTGTTCTTTGATAATTAGCCTTCATACAACCTTTAGCGGGTCACTGGGCTTTTTTCCCCCCATGGCGGCTACTCGCTTCAAATAAAGCGTGTTTAAAAATGCATCTCGGTGCTCCCCCATTGAAAGGCGAAGTCACGACGCAGCCAGTCCGACAGTGTGCGCTAACAGGTGCTGTCTCTAAGTCAGGAAATGGCGAGGAAATTAAATTGGAACAAAAATTACACGTTTTGCATCGGCTCTATTCGTGTTATGTCTTTGTAGTAACAAGTGGGCTCAATAACTTCAAACCAACAAGTGAATACAGCGCATGCACGTACCCCAGCTGCTGCAAGTACGTCCTAAAAACTCCCTCTTCTCTGAATTCCATACAAATTTCTTCCATCCACCGTCGTTTTCTTTATTAGGCGACATACTCCCAGGTAGAAATCCCTCTGCGCGTCTTCTTTAATGGCGGCTCGGGGAGAGAGATCGGTGTGTCGACTGTCCCTAACTGGAAAAGCAAAAGGACGGTCAAGCAGCAGACTTGTGCAGTTGTAAAGGTTGTTTCACACACACACACACGCACACACGCACGCACAATTTTTTTTTTTTTTTTTTGCGCACAGAGAAACCGACTCCGCCCGCAAACTCGACTAATAAGTTGCCACCCGGAGAGGGGAGGGCTTGGAGCAGCAAATCACAACCTACCATGTCTTTTTGCGTAATGTAGAGACTGCGATGAGGCGAAAGAGGGGGGGGGGGGGTCGTACTACGCAAGCAGAGGGCCCCCACATGCACACACAAAAGTAGGCTAGAGAGGAGTGGGAAGAAACCTATCGCTAGCTACCTGGTGATAACAAACAGACGACTAAACGGTACAAATGTTGCTAGCTAACTCTCAGAAAGCGTTGTATTTCGTCCCACGGCTAGGTAACCCACCACGACCAGAATACGTATCAGTTAAACAGCTCGTAATTGTTTTCTTAGCCAAATTAAATGTCTATAAACTCTAAATGTAACCGAAATAAACTGTTTTTTTAGTTGGTCCCAACGGGCAGCAAGGGACGCACGTGACCTGGACTGCGCACGTTTTGAATGATGCTGTCTCCATGGAAACCAGCTCCAGGAAGCTAGCAACCAGAGGTGACACAGAAGTCATGGCATGATTCGCTGGAAGAAAATGTAATTAAGTTGTAAAAAATGAACTTATTTCACATCAACACTCAATATAAACCCCCTTGCCCCCATTGATTAATGTAGTCATTTATTTATTGTTGTGTATTTGTTTAATAAAGAAAGTATAAATAATATACACATACGTTACAGTTGTAGTGCAAAGCAATATAAACTTGTATTTTTACATCTGTAGATAAATCTGTAATGCACTGCAAAATATCAATGTAGTAAGTCATTAGTCCTGTGGGTTCAAATATTTACAGTGAGGAAACTAGTATACATGTTAGCAGCATGGGTGTGATACTACGGTAAATGTTATCAGTTTGTCAATTCTAATAGAAATAAATAAAATGTATTGTAAAAAGGGATGTCCCGATATCTACTGTATTGGCAAACGCACTGATACAAGACTATATTAAGTTATTTGCAAATTCTTAAAATGTGGCTTGAATAGAGACATTTTGAAAAATCAATCTGATAGTTCTCAATGTATATAAAATAGTTCAAATTTATTTGTGTATGTTGTGTGAAATGTTTTTTGCTTCCATTTGTCATGGATTTAACTTAAAGCTATAAAACAATGTGTACTCAAAAGAACTCTCTCTGCTATTTTCAAAGTTGCTGATGAGACATTATAAGTATATGACACAACATGTGGTCAGCCTGTCGCATGACTTAGGCTGACCACAAAAGAAGGCTACTCAGTTTTTTGTGTGTGATTTTTTGGGGGTCTGGGGGTAGTCAGAGAGGTGATCAGGTTGTTGATTGTGACCTGCATAATGTTGGTCCACTCCTCTTCAGTGTATTGTTGTATGCTGATCCAGAGCATCCCAACCTTCTCCGTTAGTATTCTGGCCACGCAATGCCACATAAGCGGCCTGCCATTTTCCCTTAACTGTGACCTCTAGGATTCATCCGGGAAGAGAACACGTCACCTGAAAACATCCCAGTTCTTGTTCAACATACTCTCAGGACATGTCACCCATTGTGCAGGTTTGGAAGCCTCTGGGTCGGCGTGTTATTAAAGAGGACCCACATTCCACAGGCCACAATCAACAACCTGAACGACCACTGAGAAGAAAATGTGTTTTACTGCATCAAATTATGTCAAACCTGTGTGGGGGGTCTGAACAGTAGTAGTAGTAGTAAGTAATCTTTATTTATATACCGCCTTTTCACTGCAGATCTGAGTCTCAAAGAGGTTTACAATTGTTAATTATGGGCACTTGTCCTCTCACTCCACACAGAGATGGGAGCGGGGTCGCCAGTACAGGAGGCGCATGCTAGAACTATTGGACATATTTTTAGTGGTAGGGGAAACCAGAGTACCCGGAGGAAACCTACGCAGACACGGGGAGAACATGCAAACTCCACTCAGAAAGGCCCTGGTCCGACCAGGATTCGAACCCAGGACCTTCTTGCTGAGAGGCGAGAGTGCTATCCACTCAGCCACCGTGCCGCCCAGGTTTTCAGATCCCCCACACCTCCCATTATAGCAAAACGTCTTTGAGTGGCTTTTTATTGTGGGCAGCAGTTTATTATACTGTTTTTATTATGATTTGCCACACTTGTGAGAAGGGATGCATTGTCTCAGAAGTGCTTACTGAAACAAATTGGTGAACAATATCTGATATAGATGGTTCTGTTGTGCTTACAGAAATGTATGGGTTTGTATGGTTTTAAGTTGAACCCGTGGAAGCATAAACAAAAGGGTTGCATTAATTTTTTTGTTTAGTTCAGTGACACAGTATGTGGTATTGGACTGGTATCAGGTCCCATTAAAATTGTATTGCGAACACAGAACTTAAAATGATTCAAATTAAGCTAGCTACAGATTAGCTGTTTTACACTGTTTTTTATCAGCTTCAGGCTGTCAACATCTAAACAGAAAATGTGTGTCCTCTTGCATACTTTCGAAGAGTCACTATATGATTCATTTGGGCATAAAGCCGTTTGGTTGAATCACTTTTGTGTAAGAAAAAGCTGCTTTATCTATTGCCAAAAGTACTGTACTACAGAGGCTTTGAGTGAGATAGGATAGATGGATTTAGATTTCTCTTTCCACTTTTTAAAACTCAGGGAACTCCACTCTTTCTTTATATGATTCTCCCCATTGATAATATATGATCATAAGTTTAACATGGATCTTCAGTTGTCAACAGTAGACTTTCCTATCACTATTTTTGTGAGCTACAATCAACTTCTTCTCAAGCAAGATCTGTATACCAGTTGGCAGTTCATCCGTCAAGCTGTGTTATAATTTACGAACCATAATTTCAAGCTACGTATGTGATTTCGAAATGTTTAGAGAAAAGCAACCATCGTAAGCTCAAAGACGCTACAGTCCCCAGGTTGCAGCAGTCAAATGCAATGTTATCAAGGTTCTGGTTTGAGATGACGTGTTTGTTCGAAGTATTCAATTAATAGACCAATACTTTGATTATTTTTTAATAGTCATATCCAATCAGTAACATCTGGAGCTTTCTACCTCCTGAAAACATTGCCAGAATCAAAAATATAGTGTCTAACGCAAACTTGGGGATTCTTATCCTGCATTCGTAGGTTATACTGGATGCAATCTGAAAAACAGCTGCAGAATATTCAAAATGCTGCAGCTCGGATCTTGACTAGAACCAGGAAGAGCATTGCATTAGTCCTGTTCTCAGGTCTCTGCGCTGGCTTCCTGTGGCTCAGAGAATAGACTTTAAAGCTGTTCTGCTTGTTACAAGTCTGGCCTCGCACCAGAGTACATCTGTGAAATGTTAGTGTTAGTGCCTCCCGCTGGGACTGAGGAGCACAGGGACTGGTCTCCTGCTGGTGCCCAGAGTCAGGACTAAACACGGGGAGGCAGCGTTTCAGATGTATGCAGATAAAATATGGAACAGTCTTTTTGAAAATTTGAGACAGGCTTCTACTCTGACAATGTTCAAATCCATGTTAAAACAGTTCTGTTTAGCTGTGCAAACAACTGAATAATTGTATGAATGAACTGAAGGTTGACGGTTACATTTTGCGTGTTTGTGGTGTGAAATCATTGCGTATTGAGACATTTTCTTAGAGGCCTATTCTTTGCAGATTGAAACCTTCTTGTGACACAACTATTTAGGTATATCCAATTCAACGGCATTGTTTAATTGTATTTTGTTTGTCCTATTGATTGTGCCGTGATAAGATGTCAGCCTTTTATTGACTTAGATCAAGGGTTTGCCAAGATTACCGGGAGGTGCAGTATTCTGAGGAGGCTTGTGGATTGAGTGTGGTATGCAGAGGCTGAACTGGACTAGAGCTCATCCACAATAGGCAGTCTATATACAGAGGCTATTTGACAGCTCAGTAGTGACATACCAACACGGGCAAAGCACCTCTTCACACTACAGCTGTTTGAACTTCCACTTCAAGTTTCAGTTGAAGCCGTCTTGTTGTTGTCAATATCCGATTTCTTTCCTCTAGTAAACAAGCTTATACATGACCTTATACAAAATATGAGTTTTAAGATCATTTCACCTTTGTGTTTCATTTTGCTTTTGGACAGGATAAAGACAACCTGCATGTTTATCAAATAGCATTGATCAAAAACATACTGTATATGGTGAAACTCAGAAAATTATGACATTGTTCAAACTATTTTCTTCTGTAATTGAACTTGTCTAACTAATATATGTTAGAGAGAAGTGAGATAAATAAAGCCTAGATTGTGCTGTGAAGAAGGCTTCTACTTTGACATTATTAAAACTCAGGTTAAAAACAGTTCTGTGCATTCAAGTGAGAGAGAGAAACCAGAAAGCGTAGAGCGAGAGACCAGAGAGAGCCTAGAAAGAGAGATCCGGAAAAACCAGTGAGAGAGACCAGAGAAAGATACCAGAGAAACAGACGTGAAAGACCATTGAGAGAGACCAGAAAGACTAGTGAGAGAAACCAGAAAAAGAGACCAGAGACCAGATTAATAGACCAGAAAAAGACCAGAAAGAGAGACTAGAGAGAGTCACTAGTCTCTTTTTAATGAACTGTAATTGTTTATGATTTGAATGCCTTTTCTGTCATGTTTTGGTTCAGCACTTTGAGTTGCCATGTGTACAAAGTCTGCTATACAAATAACTTTAACCTTGCCTTTTGTAAGCTTGGAATGGCTGTCAACATTAGTTCAATCGTGGTTTGCTGATGTGTCTGAGATAACTCTATAATCACATCCCTGTTGCTGCAGGTGGCGGGCACACAGCAAATCACATTTGTTGTGCACCACATCAGTTTCCGGTGTCAAACAAAGACAAAACATGTGGTTTCCTCCTCGTCCTACGCATTTAGGGCAAAGTATAAAGCATTCCATCATGGCATTTAGTGAAGAAAGAGGACATCCTAATTGTTGTTTGCATCAGTGAATACATTTATAGGCAATTCTCGATCCACTATTGTCACAATTATCTTTTCTATTCTTTACATGCTGAAAAAGAGTTTTAGTTTTGTGGAAAGGCTGTTATCTCTTCCTGAAAACGGCTTCTATCTCCATGCATTATGGAGATTCTAAAGCTCTATTTTGAAAAGAAAATGAATGCGATTTGTGGGTAGAATACCTGACTTGGATCAGATAAATCAGAGAATCATTGCATAAAATAACTCTCTATTCAAATATTGACTCAGGAAGAGATAAATGCCTCTGTGTCCTTCAAAAGTCCCCCTCATGCTAAAGTCAGGACACACAATGGGTGATTTAGGACAATGGACAAATATCAGGTAAAAATGGATCGTGTTTCTTCCCATTAGCGCAGTGACGACAAAGAGCCCGTTCAGGGGAAGACTATGTTTGATGATCTGATGACAAGTAACATAAATCTTGAGTTTAACACATGGGTATCGTATGTCTCCTGTCTAGGTATAATCTAATAAGTTGGACTATGGCCTGAAAGACGAAGAAGACATTATAGACACAAGTAAGAGAACTCACCTGCTTTCTGTTGATGAATAGTTTGCCAGATTGACGTGATGATTTGTTTATACCTTTTTACTATATTGGCATAGTATATGGTTTGGACAGAATTCACCTGATATATTCTATTCACTCCACTTTGTTAATGAGCAAGTTCATAAGAGAGTAAGAAAATGAAAAGGTACATACAATGCTCAATTTGGTCGTACTTGCTCTATGTCATCAAATAAGTCAAATCAGAATCTAGAGCAGAATCTAAAACGGAAGAAGCATACAATTACAATAAAAGTAATACACATAAATAAAAACACAGAGGACCATACAATTAATGCTGTTTTAAAAGTCATTAGATAAAAGTCAGTCATAAGACGAGACTTAAACACTCAGAGGAAACTGTTTTGATTATTCTTTCATTCAATTATTTTCATCCCCTTTATTAGTCAATTTCTAGGTCGGGGGGGGTGACAATGAGAGCTGCCACCCACTGCTCAGAGCACCAGTCCCTCGTTGATCCTCCGGCAGATGATGAGTCCACAGGAAGATGGCTGCTCCGTCATAGATGACACGGCCTTGGTGTTTCAGTGGGGGCTTCAGGCAATGTGGGGTTTAGTGTCTTGCCCAGAGACACAACGACAGCAGACATAGTGGGAGCAGCTGGAGTAGGTCTCGTGGGGGATCGAACCCACGACCCTCAGGCTCAAAGGCCAATGCTTTACCACCTGAGCCACTATCACCCAGTATTTCTTTCCTATTATTTAAAGCTAAGGTACCTAATTGTCAAACCACAACAATAGAAGTATGTAATGAAATCCATGTCACTATTCCTGGCTATAAAACAGTTTGGTCCTATTACATACTTTCCAAACTCTCTATTTTTGTGTTCTCTCACATCTTCACATCAGCTTTTTCAGACAAAAAAGGGAAAAAGAGAGGACAAACTTTAAAATTCTACTTTTCCAAGGTTCTTTCTTTTAGGACATACATATGTGTTATTTATGGGGGGGGGGATTTACCTGCAATCATCATAGGCTGAATACAATGACTTATTAGCTAACATCAGGATTAGCCCCCCACAAACATGCACAATAGTTGGGGATTTAGATAAAAGCAGGTTTGTTATCTGTACTTTACGTCTTTATGAGCTGAGAAGAGTAAGATAAAACCTCAGCACACTCTTTCACTCTGTTCACTGAACTCTGAAAGGCATGTGCGAGGAAGGGATAGCATTCTGGTTCCAAATTAGTATCCATGTGTGGCCATAAAGCGTTTGGAAACACTGTCATCTGAATGGAGGTAGCAGAGGCTCACTCTTCACTCCCTGGACATTCCTCGGGAGTCCAAACAGTTCGTATTATAACAGAAGATAAAAAAACTTTATTGGGCAGTGTCCCAACGCAACAGCAAAGCACGTTCACTCTGCCCTCCAGAATCACTCAGTACATCGGAAACTTTGTGATTAAAGATAGCGGAGGAAAAACAGCTGGAGCCAACTTTTGAATAGCATTCTTCTGCTGATGTTGTGCTGGTCATCGTTTATTTTTAATCTGATCCCGGTTGATTTGACCACAACGCAACAAAGTACAATATTTGTGCATTTATTGTGATAAGAAAAGTGAAAATACATTGTTTCCATTGTATGCATAATGGAAACAATTACACACACAGAATGGTTTGAATGGTAGGACAATGTTTTGTTTCTTTATTCACTGACATTAAAAGAAAAACTTCTAGCTCCGTAACCATTTGATATTGTCTTTGAACAGGACTTTTCTCTGTGCGAGCAGCTTTTCTGTTTGTATGCGTCTTCAACACTTCTTTTTATTCACAGCAGCTTAAACAACACGGATGAGAGGGATGGGTGACCTCTGGGGGTAAGTTTTGCCTTTGTGTGACATTTGCTTTTATGGCTTGACCCTCTCCTCGCGTGCAGCCCCTTCTCCTCATGTTGAGACACAGGTGAATAAGCAGATCACACTGTGGACAAACTCACCATTCATGTCCTTGAGGCTTTCTCTGTAACCAATGAAACATGTAACAACTACTTTAGCAGCAATAAACCAATGGATAAACAGGGACCTTGACTATTTAACAAACAAAGGCCTGTTGTAATGTTGCGTATCATTCACTAGTCTCTCTCTTTTTTATATAAATACAATTGAACTGCCATAAACTTTAGATTTTAAAAGTGTAACAGTATTCAAGCACCTTACAGTTTTTCTCTATTGCTACAACACAAAACCCAGTACTCTAAACCAAATGACCAATTGCCTAAACACATTTATTAAAACTTCCCCCCACTTCTCACAACCATAAACACAATTCTCCTGTAGACACTGTTCACAAAACACATGCCCTTTTTCTCAAAACACATTTTTCTTTTGCTAAAACACATTTTTCCTTTGCTAAAACACTTTTTGCATGTATCTCTGCTCCTATAATCATTGTGAGGCTCATGTGATGAAAAATGTCTCCCACTGTCAGCAAAACCTGAACACAATGAACATACCTGGTGTCATTCAGAAAACACAACCATCAGAACTGAAAACTCCTTTATAAGTCAGTGCAGGTTCCAAACGACAATGGATGATCAAGGCAGAAGAAGAGGAGTTTGTGTCAGAGGAGGGAGAGGAGCAGGTCAAGGAGGGAGAGGAGCAGACCAAGGAGGGAGAGGAGCAGACCAAGGAGGGAGAGGAGCAGACCAAGGAGGGAGAGGAACAGGTCAAAGAGAGGAGCAGGCCAATGAGGGAGAGGAGCAACATGTATAATGAATGCACGGGAAATGTAGGTACCCCAGCTTTAATTTAGTGAGTTGTAGTTTCAGGGCGACAGGTGGAGACATGGGGGACACTTCCAGAGGCTCACATAATTCAGCTGTGTTTCTCTCACAGCGGTGGATTTATCGCGTCCACAGGTTGCGCAAAGATCCGCACTTGTCCTGTCCGCGCTGGTCACATGGGAATCAGTCCCTTGCAGCACCAGAGCATGTGGAATCCAGTTCCACGTACATAAAAAAACAATAAGTGTCCCACGGTCACGCGCGCTCCCTGATGACAGAGCCCCCCCTGTCATCGCACCACGCCCCCCCACTATTTGAGAAGCACTGCCCTAAACATTGTGTTTTCAATTGTTACTGTACTGTAGTATCTTTTGTGTGTAATGGATCCTCCATAGAGTTACTCATGTTTGCATTGAGTTGTGATATAACTGAATTTTCTACTTTTTGTAACTATTCTCATAAAACGCACAAATCTATAGTAAATAGCCAAAATATATTTGAGAATAAAAAAGTGTTGCTCAAATGCATCCTGGCAGTTGTGATACTGTAAAAAGAACAGTCTCACATTCTGAAAATTGTGTTTTCAATTGTTTTGGTGATGTGGTTAATGATGCTCATAGTGTTCACATTTTTGCAGACCATGAGAGGTATTTTGGTGTGATGGGTTGGTTTTGAGAATATGACAAAGAGACAGTGTTGTTGTGTGTACGTAGCTTTAGAAAAGAGGTTTGTGTTTAGAGTTTTGAGAAAAGGGAGGGCAGTATTGTGAAATGTGTTTAAGCAATAGAGAAAAACTGTAACTGTAATTATGATCAGTGTAACAGGTTTCTTTTTTATATTCAACATTTAATCAATAAAAAAAAAATAAACATACCTATCGGCAAAAATGGGGTTTTAAACATGACCAACTCCCTGAGAGGAAAACAAAAACAATAACCTAAAGGTTTGTTGTGCAAAAATGGCACCTTTTATCGGCACATCTTTTCAGTGACTGATCTGGGCCTGCTTCGTGCGGCAGATCTTGTCAAATCTGGGTTGCAATTTTTCATCCCGGGCCCCCCTTGCAGTAGTTCTGGGCCCCCCACTTTGGGAACCACTGCTCTAGCGTGTCCTGGGTCTTCCCCGTATCTCCTCTCGGTGGATTAATTTGTGACTTCAAAATCAATGTTTACAAAGCGCTGCACAGTCAGCATGAAAAAACACAAGACAATACAAACAGTCATCATAAAAGAAGATAAAAGAAATAGAAATAAAAACAGGAAAATAAAGCAAACATAAGGCACACAACAAAAAAAGGGAAACCCGGAAAAAGACCAGAGAGTGTGAGAGAGAGAGAGAGAGAGAGACCAGAGAGAGACCTGTTAGAGACCTTATAGAGAGTGACCAGAGAGAGACCAGCAAGAGAGAGAGAGAGACCAGAGAGAGACCTGTTAGAGACCTGATAGAGAGTGACCAGAGAGAGACCAGCAAGAGAGAGAGAGAGACCAGAGAGTGACCAAAGAGAGACCAGTGAGAGAGAGAGAGAGATAGAGAGACCAGGGAGAGACCAGTGAGAGAGAGAGAGACCAGAGAGAGACCTGTTAGAGACCTGTTAGAGAGTGACCAGAGAGAGACCAGTGAGAGAGAGAGAGATAGAGAGACCAGAGAGAGACCAGTGAGAGAGAGAGAGACCATAGAGAGACCTGTTAGAGACCTGTTAGAGAGTGACCAGAGAGAGACCAGTGAGAGAGAGAGAGATAGAGAGACCAGAGAGAGACCAGTGAGAGAGAGAGAGACCAGAGAGAGACCTGTTAGAGACCTGTTAGAGAGTGACCAGAGAGAGACCAGTGAGAGAGAGAGATAGAGACCAGAGAGAGACCAGTGAGAGAGAGAGAGACCAGAGAGAGACCTGTTAGAGACCTGATAGAGAGTGACCAGTGAGAGAGAGAGAGACCAGAGAGAGAGAGAGAGACCAGTGAGAGAGAGAGAGATAGAGAGACCAGAGAGAGACCAGTGAGAGAGAGAGAGATAGAGAGACCAGAAAGAGAGAGAGAGACCAGAGAGAGACCTGTAAGAGACCTGTTAGAGAGTGACCAGAGAGAGACCAGTGAGAGAAAGAGAGAACAGAAAGAGACCACAGGGAGACCAGAGAGAAAGCAGAGTGAAAGCAGAGAAAGTGAGAGACCAGAAAGAGACCTGAGAGAAAGACCAGAGAGGAATACAGGAAAATAAAGCTGACTGAGCAAACAACAAGAGACAAAGACAATGTGAAACAGAAAAATTCACAAACAATTGAATGCTGTCGATAAAAGTGGTGTTAAAGAAGTGATTTAACAGAAGGTACTGTTGGTGCTCACCATATCTCCGAGGAATGCATTGACCTTTTGCATTCTCACATACCAATGATACCATCACTATAAAAGTTAAAGCTGTAAATCAGTGGTTCTCCACTGGAACGGTGGGGGCCCTTATAACTGTGTATAATCTTACAGATATATTTGTATATGGTTACAAATTAATGTTTTATAAGCATTGATTGGTTCTACAAAGCTAACATTATGAATAAAATAACAAACCCCAAGCAGAATAGCGACAATAATAATATTAATAATAAACAAACAAAGGTTGCACAAAAAAATTCCATAAAGTTAGATGTTTTCCCCATAATCTTGGCATAAAGACTTGCCATATTGACACATTTATTATTATTTCTTTGTTGAATCAAGGCTAGAAAATTGTTGGCTTGAAAATTTGACTTATTTCTTTTTCTATGTAACTATTTAGTGATTATGTAAGTGTGAATGCAAGTAAAATGCAACCATTTCGGTAAATACAATATATTTCAGCCACATATGACTCATTAAAATTATAACTCAAAAACAACATTTCGATGAGAACAAGTAATCTTTATTTAAATAGTGCATTTCCAAGGTCACCCAAAGCACTGAAGAAGATTTATATATTTTTAAATGTTGTCCACCGTTTGAAAACCACTGCTTTAAATGAATGCTCCAACAATGCAACACTGACAAAGCACATTTTAAAACAGGACCAAACCTGAACCAGCTTACAGCTTAATGCCGGGTTTAAACCAGGATTTATTCCAGCTTTTATTGCAGACTTACCGAGTACAAACATGGATTAACTCAAGTCCAAACTATAGCATAGAAGTGCCTGCAAGGCTTAAAGGAGTGGTTCTTCTTCACTTCTGCAAACCTGAACCCTGCAAAAAGTGGTAAAAATAAGTCTAAATGTATCTTAATTTGAGATAAAGATACAAGAAACCTCTCCCTTGGAATGAGAAAACAAGACAACAGTCCTTGAAATAAGACTAAATTCTTTGTCCCGTTGGCAGAATGTACTCAAATTAAGATAAAAACCACTTGATTCAAGCAATTATTACCTCGTATTTTATATTTTTTTGCAGCGTTCCAACTCAAAGGCAAAGGCAATAAACAAATATATACATAGAATTATTTAATGCTGTGAGTTTATTTCAAATGCATTTAACATTACTGACTGTAGACTGTTTTAAAGCAGAGTTGTGGGACAGAATGTGGCTGTGCCCTGCGGAGGAGGATGGGGGTAAAATAAATGCAGACCACGTCACCATATTTTCCATAAGCTGTGCAGTGATGACAGCTGTAGACGTCTCTGGCTCTTACCGTCATCCTGATTCAAAATTCAAAAGTTTATCGACGTATCTTAAAGTGATGACGACCTCTACTGTTTATAGACTCGCACTGTGTTTTAATGACATCCAGAGACACAAGCAGAAAGAATGGATCTCGTGACGTCGGCTGGATCCTCACTGTGCCTTCACTTCCTGTTATGTCAGATCTATCCCTCATTGCAAGTGATGTAGCACAGATATTGATAGTTGGAAGCTCAATTTATGACTAAAAGGAGACAAGTTATTCAAGTTTTAAATAAAGCTAACTTTTCATTGCACTGTGCTATAGAAATAAGACAATCTATTACATATCCATTTCCACATTCTGGTCTCAAAACAACCCTCCCTTGTTTGCAATCTTTGGCATACTTTGACAGCATCAGACTAAAATTATTTTATCTTATCCTTCTCGTTATTGCATCCCAAAAACATAGGGAGGCAGATTTAAGCAGATATTTTCAGTTTTCTTTCCATCTCTATCTTTGTTAACTTGCCTTGTCTTTGATAGTCAGACATAGACGACTTTAAATGAATTGTGAATAATTTCCATATCACAATGATTCGCTGTAGTGCAATCTTTTAACCAATTCTGTGGTGATTTTGAGTTAATTTTAGATATTGAATAAAACTCCTTTGTTTACAGTCACCATCAGGGGTTTCAGTCTCTCTCTCTGTCTCTCTCTCTCTCTCTCTCTCTCTCTCTCTTGCACAATATTAGACACACAACAAGAGAGACAGTTATAGTACACAGTAAAAGACACAAATAGTGAGTGTGCAACGCTGCTGCTTTCAAATTCAAGTTTTTGTTTCTTTTTTTAAATGAGTTTTGTCGACCATAGTCCTGCAGTTGGCTGTTGGTCTGTTGAAGTGAACCAATGCTTAGATGTAAATGCACCAACACACATCAGTTCCACTCATTTGAAACGGATCCAGTTGACCGATAAGTGTAGTCTAGAGAAAATGTACTGACATTTTTGTACAAACGCAACCAAAATGTGCTTCTTATGTGTGGTTTTTGCAGCAATATTAGATACGCTCATAACGTAAATGTTGTCCATTCTTTTGTTTTGTTATGGAGATTACAGTCAGGATTTATCTGAGCGTTTCTGTCGCGTGCAGAAGAGCAGAGTGACCTGCGTCTGCGAGATAGTCATATCGTGTCTCAGTCTGACCCACTTCCACCAATCCACCAGAGAGTCTCCAAACCCTGCGCAGCCACAGCAGGAGGCAGGAAGATTTTATTTTTAACACTGTATGAAAAAACAAGGAAACTCCAAAAGGCAATGCTAAGGGTATTAGCATTGTGATACATTTGAGAGAGCCAAATCCAAGGCCTTAAAGCTTTACATTTAAGAGTGGTACCTTTTGGAGATTGTAGCTTTGTTTGTCTCATTATGAATCAATATCTGAATGTAGCTGTTTTTCATGTTGTACTCCCAAATCTTATTCTGGCTTCATATAACTGTCTCAGTAAATTGGGCAGTGAAGATTGGTTTCACTGGCTAATTTTCATTTCATTTCACCTTTTCCTTCAGTATTTATTTGGTTGTCTCTGGACTGAACCAATGGAAACGTTTGCAAATGACATCACAAAACACAGAAAAACAGCAGCTCATGGTGGAACTGTGTAAAAAAGGATACACATTTTTTATACAGTAAGCAAACAGGGCCACTTTAAGTTACGTTAAGATAAGATAAGACACACAAAAATTGATCTCACAATGGAGAAATGTACAGAATTGTGGCCCCCTCCCAGTGCCTAACCTATATAGGCCACAAAAACGTCTAATTTCTATCAAATTAAAAGTTACATGACATTTTGCGCTCTGTATCAAAATCGCAACCATTCTTCCAAAAAGTACAACTAAAACTGACAACTAAGAAATTATACATATTCTGCAATCAGATATATTATTAAAGAACGCTACTGGGGGTTAAAATTCACAAATTCAATTACTATTGCCTTGACCAATCCTGGAGCAACTTGGAAAATACGAAATACAGTAAACTCTTTGAGGATCACCCTCCCAATACAGGAAGGATTCAGATATTTTTAATTTAACAGCATCAGTATTATAATCCACTTGTGTCAATATAGTCAAGCTATATCTCTTTTCAGATTCAGATCAGATTCAGAATCATTTATTTGCCATTTGCAGTAAAACCACATTGGAATACATTTGCAAAAGTCCCCAGTGTGCACAAGACAAGTACAGACATAAAACAACATTAAAAGACAGAAATAAAACAAATAAAACAGTAAACAATTGTCACTGTGAAATCGATCGACCAAGACAATATCAAAACAAGTGCAAGATCATTTTAAAGTGCTCTCTTCAAGCTGATAACAGCCTGTGGAAAGCTTATTCCCACCTCTAAACGCGTATTATGTTCAAATAAAAAATGATACACAGCATTTATTCTTGCATAGTTTAGTTTAGTAGACAGAACATATTTGATCTTATCCCTCTCCTTATTGCATATTTGCGTGTCTTTCAAGGCTGTGTAATTAATACAACATTAGCTGAATTGTGGTCCATTTTCATGTCTCAATGATAGTGGCCATGATCTCTCAGCCATTTTATTTGGATTTTGAGAGACATTTTTACATTAAGAAGGAATAGAACCTTTACAGTAGTCTTTATGCAATAATTAATACTCTTTCCAAATCACATTTTTTGTTTAAAGACAACAATAACCAATGTATTTCTTGTCTATAGACGCAGCCATGTTTGACAGTTCAGTTTCATTCAAGATAGCAGCTCTAGAGTTAATAACACCAGAATGTTCCCTTTGTCATAAGGCTCTGTTTGCATCACAAAACATTCTACAGATGTTTATGATCGATGTGGTGGACCATAAAGAGCAGTCATTTAGAAAGACTCTGTTGATATGACTTAATGTTCTGATTATGGACGCATGTGATACATTTTTTGGTATGCAGAAACACTCGTACCAGCTCCAACCTAATAAGGTGTGGCTGTAAAGATTGATTTGACACACAATGTTATATGTGGCGAGAAGCCCTGTTTTCACACAGACTCACAGACTCTCATGCAAAATGTACTAAGTCCGATTTCAGTTCAGTTTCATTTAGAAATTCGGAGGACATTTCTCACTGTAACTTAGACTCCGAGGAGCACAGGGACGGGCCTCCTGCTGGGTCTCTGAAGAGCATAACAACTGTGCTCAACAAATAAACTTGCCTTGCCTTGTCATGTGTGTTTTTAATATTGTCAATACTTCTAGACACTGTTATGACATAAAAATTAGACCATAGTTGATAGAGACCAGAGAGAGAAGAGGGAGAGGGGCCAGCAAGAAACTAGAGAGAGAGACCAGGGAGAGAGAGAGACTAGAGAGAGAAACCAGAGAGACTAGATAGAGAGAAACCAGAGCGAGAGACTAGATAGAGAGAAACCAGAGCGAGAGACTAGAGAGAGAGAAACCAGCGCGAGAGACTAGAGCGAGAGAAACCAGAGAGAGACTAGATAAAGAGAAACCAAATACTACAGAGAGAGAAACCAGAGCGAGAGACCAGAGAGAGAATGGGGAGAGGGGCCAGAGAGAGACTAGAGAGAGAGAAACCAGAGAGACTAGAGAGAGAGAAGATTCAGATTCAGTTTATTTGCCATTTGCAGTAAAAACACCACATTGTAATACATTAGCAAAAGTCTCCAGTGTGCACAGACAAATACAGACATAAAACATTAAAAGACAAAAATAAAACAAATAAAACAGTAAACAAATGTCACTGTGAAATCAATCGACTAAAACAGTTTCAAAACAAGTGCAAATCATTAAAGTGCTCTGTTCACACTGATAACAGCTTGTGGATAAAAACTGTTAGCGTAACGAGATGTCCTGCATCTCAGAGAGCGATATCTTCTGCCAGAGGGAAGAAGCTGGAACATGGCTTTCCCAGGGTGGCCAGAAGAGTCATTGACAATCCTAAGAGCTTTGTTTAAAAGTCTGGATTTATAAAGAACCTCCAGAACAGGAAGCTCACAGCCCACGGTCCTCTTTGCAGAGCGGAGCACCTTGTTTAAACCAGAAACCAGAGAGAGACTAGAGAAAGAGAAACCAGAGAGACTAGAGAAAGAGAAACCAGAGAGAGACTAGAGAGAGAGAAACCAGAGAGAGACTAGAAAGAGAGAGACTGAAGAGAGAGAAACCAGGCACTAGATAGAGAGAAACCAGAGAGACTAGAGAGAGAGAGACCAGATCGAGAGGCCATAGAGGACATGTAGGACAAAGAAGATGTGAAACTTTGTGATAGTTTCTCTTTCACATGATTTTTCCAGGAATTACAGAGAAATTATCTTTATCTTAAACTTAAACTTAGACAAAGCCTGACTTTTGGAAGACTTCACCATAGTTACCAGGAAAGTTTTTTTTTTCAGCTGCCCTGCACCACAGTTTTATAGGCTCTTAGGAATGCTGTGATGTCACATGAAACTCTCTCTTGGAATGAGAATGAAAAAATGAAGGCCACCCATAACAAGCGTGTGAGCGATCTATAGAACGCTCTATCGTCTCAGCTAAATGCAAAACCACTGTGTAAACTCAAAACAATAAAAAGTCTAACCAAAAATGTACAATGAGTTTGTCAAATAATTCCAAATGCATCATAATTACTTGCTGGTGATTTATAATTGTGTTCTTAATCCATAAATGCCTGATATGAAGTAATAATGTGTGGTATTTATACAGCAGTAAAAGTATATGTTGCAAACCTAGCAGTATGCAAACAACGTGTTCTCATAAAAAAACAGGTTTTTGAGTAGACATGTTTACAGTAGTGTTATTGTAGCTTTGAAATATGCTCGCAGAAATGGGAGCAGTGAATAATATTAAAATATGACAGCCATGAGCCACAGATAAATATATTCTTACTGAGAAATAGTTTTGAAATTTGGGCTCTGATTGTACTTTTTGATTTCAATTGACTTTAATAATCCCAAAGGAAATTCTTGTGACGGCGAGAGCTATCAAATCAGTGCAGAAAAATAAGATGAGATTAGAGATCCAAATAGGACAGTAGTAAGAGCACACAGGGAGCACACAAATATACAATATAAGTAGCTGCTATGTCTGTAAATGCTTCAATATCAATAAAATCAATATATCTCTTTCTATCTATCTATAGTGTAAAGTTATATACATATAGGGCATGATAATAAGTAGATAAAATATACATTGACAATGTGAATACAGGGCAACAAAAATGGTATTACAAATTAAATTCCTTGATGAGGAGAACATCTGTGCCAAAATGTGCAAGGCCAATGCACGTGTCACTACACTGAAAAAAATGCTAAAATATGAGGTAGTATTTGCTTGAATTTAGTGGTTTTTAGTACATTCGGACTGTCTTAAAACAAGATGTGCCAGTGGGACGAAGCCATTTAGTGTTATTTCAAGAATTGCTGCTTTCATTTCTCATTTCACAAGAGACATTTTTTGTATCTTTTTAAGAAGATCAATGTGCTTTGTCCAATTGGCAAATCTTGATTTTGATGTATTTTTTGCAGTGTACCTCTCCCTACTAAAGGCTTTATGTTGGCTATTGTAATATTTCATGGTTTTGACGGATAAACGTTACTTAACTTCACTGCAAAAAATGACAAAATATAAGGCTTGAAATTATATTATTATTATAATTGCTTGAATCAAGAGTTTCTATCTTATTTTGAGTATATTATTACTGTCTTAAAACATGATTTGCGAGTGGAACAAGCCGTTTTATCTTATTTCAAGTGCTGTAGCAATTTATTCCTCATTCCAAGTGAGACATTTTATTGTATCCTTTTACAACAAGACATTTTTGCTTGTCCTATTGGCAAATCTTGTCAAAAGGTGCTCAACCTAAGATAAAACACCAATGTATCACCTTATTTTTTGTTATTTTCTGCAATTTATCAATCCAATATAACGCAATATTCCTTGTGAGTGTGTGAAACTGGTAAACAACGTATTTAATAGATGTGAATTCTCGCTGTAACCAAAACTCTGACTTTGAGCTTGAATTTCTGGACCTCTGCCCTCTCCAACTTGCTGTGGTATGTGTGCTGTGCAACTGCCGCTGTGGTGACCGGCCTTGGCATGGGCTCCGATAGCTTAGGAGCGCTTCACTGATGACATTAAAGGACAATCCAAAAAGGACGGGACAAAACCACAGACGAAAGCCATTGGCGTGGCTCGGGCTGTAACCTCATTAGAACAATGAATTTGGCTGCCGGACGAAG